TATTTGAATTGTGCATCTGAAAATCGGGGTTTTGATCCAAATAAAAATAACCTTTGCTAGAAATATTTAATTTCTTAATAATATTAAACGTCCTTAAGTTTCATACATAAGTGAACATAATTGAGCTTGAGTTCACCACATATGTGATAATTAACACGATGACAATTTGTTTTATAATAATACTCATGATTGCAAGGAACTATGAACTCGATTTCGTTGTTCGTAATTTTCGTCTTATAATATTTATAACTATGGAATAGGAACTCGATGAAACACATCTGTTCTCGACGTACATGTCGATAGAACGAAAATTCACGCTGCATCCCGGAATGTTAATTTCTTATTGCGGGTCGACCTCGCATTTCGTAAATCTTATTTCCTTAAGATTAATTACAGCTCTCTTGCGCAAAATTGCCTTAACTTTCGCGGCTCGAACAGATGCTTTTTCATCGATAGTTTGGGAGCGAATGGCGGGATCTCGCGGGAAGCTTCTGCGCTCGAGTCGGAGGCTATTGGTTCGAATATAACGCGAAGAAGAGGAACATTTGCACAGAATTAACATACGAATTCCGACGAAACTAATAAAATTTCCATCATCGCGGGAAAGGGGAATCTGCATAATTCGATCGCGCCGGCGCTCAACAGAATTCCATCGGAGCGCAATAAAATAAAATTCGAATATCCTTTCGCGAGACGATCCGCGCGCCTCGCGACTCCGTTCGACCTAAATTTCTTCGATACACCTACGCGCTCCAAATGGTACGATTACAGCAGCTGTTAGTTCAAAGATTACCAGTGAAATAGTCTTCGTCAAACATCTGACGAGTCGTTTTACGACTGCTGCATAGTGCTAGAGAAATATCCCGCTTCAACGTGTCATACATAAATCACCATTCCCGCGACGTTTACTACACTCCTGTCAAAAGACCAACGAGTGTTGAAATTCCGCTGAAAGTACTGCTTGTCAGTTGTATAAAATTCAAACTTTCGTTCGCGAGTCATCGGGGTACTCCATTAAAGAATTACGGTTCGAAGTGAAACTCGTTTATTCGAAGCCATCGCCAAAACACTTAAAGCAAAACGTCAACATAAACGTTTACGTGCTACGGTTCTTCAAGTAATTTATTTCCGTAGAGACATTAAAATATTTCTGTTCTCCTTGCTGCATTAAGCAAATGTACATTTGAGAGATCCAAATGCAACGGAACTTTGATACTTCGAAATACATTTACAGTCTTCTGTACGAAGACGCTACGTGTGGTTGCGCTGCCCAGAAACCTAGAAGAGACTGAAGAGACTTTGAACGACAATACATATGTACGTGTCACGAAACCTGAAATATGTACGTGTCAAGTGCAAACAACAATCGCAACTATTGGATGACTGGTGCATTTGAAGAAACCAACTTGACATGCTCTTGCTCTCTGAATAATAAAATTTTATCTCTTTGGAATTACGTAAAGATTCAGAAAATTACATTTGGCACATAACATCACTTGGAATACCTTACATTGACAAAATATAATTAAAAAATGTACATGAATCTTATGATCAAGATAATAAAAATATAGAGGAAAGTAATGACATTGTACATATAGTTATTTCATATAATCATGATTCACTTACAAATAGATAGTATAAAGGATAGCATAATATGGAATTTTCGCGTTCGAAACCGCGGGTAATATCTAGTGTATTATAATCTTCGTCGAAACTTGAGAGGAGTGTCTAATGCAGAAATGGACTCAATTTCCAAATCTCCCGTCAAAGCAGTCAGGATTAGATGAAATTGTGCAGAGATTCATGTATATAATTATAATAATCGGATTGTGTATCCAGTAGTACCAAGTCAGGAGAGTATTTACAATGGTGTCTTTAATAGTGAAATACAGAGTAGACAGTAAAACTGATTTACTTGAACGTCTCACTATTTTGGCAAGTTTTAAAACTGTTCTTTGATTCAACAACGAGTAAACATGATTTGACCAAGAAAGAAAGAAAGATCAAAGCAAAGATAAATAAATAGATGCGTTTCTCGAGATTCAAGAAATCAATGTACGTACGTGCTACGATCTCAGCCAAAGAATTACTGGCACACCACATCGAAAGCTATCTCTTTAGGATATTGATTACCGATTCGCGAACTCGAACTCGAACTCTACGAAAGCTAACTACCTGGAATCAGTCAATCGTTTTAGGGACATTTCCTTGATTCCAGTGGTCTTGATAGAACGGTTTCGTGATTGCCTTGATACACGCCAATTAGTAAAAAGTCCTTTCTTTCGGCCCTTGTCGAGAAAATTGTATCGTTCAAAGCCAGAAAGATGATTAACGAGATGGCACAGAAGCCAGAGGGTTACACCATTGACACTTCTCTAGCCACCACCGCTCGATCCTTGGTGGCACGCACTGACATAGAAGTAGGTTTGAGTTTAGTAAATGCGACCACTTTGGCCATTAATAAACGACGAGATGTGTGCGTAGAACTGTAAGACTAATCTTCTATGGCAAATCGTGCCCGCATTCCTTCCACTCGTCGTCCTTTCAGCTTTGCACGGTACACGTGAACATATTTTGGCTAGGTTCTAGGGGCATATTCACCCCCTAAAATTGACCTTTGAAATTTTGTTGCGTTTTTTTATCAGTTTCTCTGGGATTTATATTACTAGAATATTTAAATTTGACCCAGAAATTTCGCTGTTATTAAATGTACTTCGCAATACCAGATGGATGACATTTCACGTTCGAACTCCAAATTCTCTGGCATAGAATTTAAATCTTATTCAAATCACGTATCACCTCCGTTTAACCGCGAAACTTTACACGGCAACGTGGAAATATGTGCCGGATCACAGGGTTCGGTGAATTGAAACTTTAATCTTTGATGGACGATAAATCGTTCGCCGAGAGAAACGTACCAGGGCACTGACATGTCATCGATATCGTTTTGTCGATAATTGACACTCTGCTGGTCGATGTTACGTGATTTTATTTCTGCAACCACTATGTTACCACTCACGATCAGCTTATTTTACGCTTGTGATCCCATGTATAATTGTTATATCTAATTGTACAATTGCTCAACAATTGCTTCTTTCATCGTAATATAATGTTACAGAAAATATTGCCTATCTTAGTCACGTTAAATGTCTGTAAATAAAGTATATGAATATTTAAAAATTTCACTTTCAAATTACTAGCATGTTATTCCAGCGTAATACAATTAATTTCAAAATAATGTAAGAGGAATGAAATATTGTTTCGATATAATTATCACATATTCGATTAAGGTTTTGATATGTGCAATATTATCTAGATCACCTTATAATTAATAGTTTATTGGGCTTCCATTGTACACATAGATAATAACATGGCAGTGTACGTACATTGGTCGTTTATTTTTATCTATTGCATATCATACTAATTGCGTGCGTGTAATATGAGTGAATTTATGCATGGTATGCCCAAAAGAAGCAGCGAAAAACAGTTTGAAATCCTTTTTACGAAACGTACGAAAGATATAATCGTGAAAGTGTTACATAATTTTATGGATGTTCCCCACTTTCGAAGTAAAATTATTAATTACTTGAAAAGTTGAAGTAGGGTTGTAATTACGCGCTTTGAATCTTTTGACGAATCCTTAATTCGCAACTGCGCGCGACAAAGTGGTTTTTTTCATACCAACGCTATTAGTCAAAGTAAAGTCCGAACACAGCCTTTTTTCAATAAAAAGGAAGCAAATTAGAAAATGTAATGAATACTGATATTAAATTAAAAGCTCTTTACTTAAATTACGAACCGGAATTTTTTTCGGTAAACGATGTTTTCGTAAAAATATTAATAAATCAGTGGTTCAATAATTCGAGTAAAAAAAGGAAGAACGAAGGTACCATTACCTTGGAAGCTATTAATTTAACCTATAAATTACGATTGGCATATTTTTCGTATACTCTCGACATTGCAATCTACTTAACCAATAATATCTTACTTCGCTACACGTTTGGTACCATAACACAATGCTCGTGAATCAATAGGTTTCAGTACCAACACATGTGGCATTGAATTGGTCCCACTATTGCCTTACATTGTTTCCAGCTTATTTAGGCCATTGCTGAGAGCACCGATTAATCTGTCGTTGACGATCTCGGGTCACGGTTAGGTAGAAACACCTACGGTTATCTAGTTCAAGCGTCAACAATCAATAATGAAGTAGACATAGACAGCTGCCACTGGAATCCGTTGTTTCTCTTGATAGCAGTAACAACGGCCAATAGAAATTACAATGCTCGAGCCTTGGCGATACAATTTCATAATGGCGGCTATCATAAAAGACCATCATGGCCGTGGAAACAATGGGGGTCTCAGGTGTTAATTTTAACGTCAATGATGACCAGTCGATTTCGAACGGCGTTATTGGATTTCACTTAGCATACGATTATGCAGTACTAGGGATGATGTTACAATGAAACGAGAGATTCCTAGTCCAGCAGGAACAACGTTGATAGCCAAATATAAAATTGGATGCTCGAAATTAAGTTCACGAAATGCTGCAAACGTTTTAATTTTATCACGGGTAACAATTTGTGTATTTAATAGAACTGAAACTTATTCGTAGACTTTTAACTTTTGAATCATTTCTTGTCTCCTTTAAGTTAATCGTTTACATTAACTCTTTAATATTGTCGTGAATTGTTTCAATAATTGTTTTAAGGCGATACGAAATTAAACAATTCACCTTACCTTAAATTGTGAAGTGGATTTGCATAAAAATTAAGAGACTCGTTCGTAATCAAGTGCAAAACGTAAATGTGTATATGTTCAAAGAATATTTAATTGATGTTTCTGAAATGGGTCGACGCACTGACCGTAACGGAATTAGCCTTTCTTCTGTATCTCCCGTTTTTGTTGCCAAAATAAAAATTCAAACGCAATTTATTAAATAGAGCGCGAGGAGAGTAGCGACGATTGTCAGTTAATTCTTTCGTGTTATTTTTCGCCAGGTAATTTTGCACGGGATCAAAAGCTGCACGGTGGAACTGTCTTCAGCAATCACAACGTCACTAATGCGACGTTCGAGATGAACGTTCCACGAAACGTAACCACCGCAGTCGGTCAGTCGGCTTTTCTTAATTGCATAGTTCATCAGTTATCAGGTAATGAAGAGGTAAGTAAATTTATCTGTTACTTACGGTCAGAAAAGAGCTACGCCCGGAAACAGGGGGGTAGAACAAAAGAACACTCGTTCTACTTATTTCTATTTAATCTCTTCAAAGTTACACATTTACAAAGACTTCAATTATTCTCTACGATTTTTTACAACTCTTTGCAACAATAAACGCTTTTGTAAAGCATATGTGAGATATTTAACGGAGTAAGAACGAACGGAACAAAGGCATGGTTAGATAAAAACGTGCTTTGAACATTTTCCATAAAGATTAACTCGAGAAAAGTGTTCTGGCATCTTTGTAATTATAAAAATATGAATTTCATGTATATTTTGACAACTGAGCAGGTAAATGTAGTATGCGTGAGAGATTAAATACTCTTTCGGATCAAAGGCGACTCTGTAGCTCTGTTGCGGTTACGGTGCCTCTATCGTTTTTCAAAATTTTCGATCCAAAGGTATACATTCGCATGGTATACATATATACATGGCTATATGAATCTGAGAGGGTTCTGGGATAACAATACCGCAAGGCTGCCGTGCGGTTTTGAAACTAGATCGTTGATAAAATATTCATCACGTGTATTTCAAGAGTGTAATAGCCTTAAAAACGGAGTAAATATGCGTGAAATCGTAAAACTAACATTATGGTTCTTTCTGCGAAAGTTTTACTAGAACTAAAACTAATGCTACCACGAGATTGTGAAAAATTTCGGAAGAATCATGGCTAAATGATATATATACGTATTAATGAGCACATATTAACTATTATTATGATGGAGGGCTCATTATTAAATTTTATAAATTACTTTTATCCAAACCTATAACGATAAATTAATATCGTAAATTCCAACGATATTAAACGTTTCCAATAAACTCGAATTTTAATTGGCAACAAGAACGACGACTGTAATGATTAAATCGCGGGTGTTTATTCATTTATGAGAAATTTTAATTTTCAAAAAACTACCGTAATCCACTTAATATATAAATATATAAGAAATACTTACAGTAAGATACGAATTATTATGTTTTGGGGCTGAGACAACCCTCCACAAAGTACCAATTTCATTAATTCTATTAATAAAAATATGAATTTGCATAAAGATCCGCAGTCTAGTAATAATCAAGAATTATTAATTCAATATAAGTTACCTGGCACGATAAGCTTACGTCAACACGATTTATTCATACCTCCGTCATTAAAGTTTAATCAAACCGCATGATCTTCACGTTCCATAGACCCGCACAAGTTCAGAGAACGTGCATAGTGCCGATATTTGTTGAAGTTTCAGTAAATGCTAAACTTTCGAACTATGGAGACCCAGGAACTGCAGAAGGAGATTTGATACAACGGAATGCCGTATACTACGATCATTTTCATTATAGATGCATGCTTCGATTAACCATTAACCATTCGATATTGATATTATTAAAATTACATATTGATCGACTGCGACAGAAGTTTTAAAACGACTATTAAACTTGTGATGGATTTTAAATCTTAAACTGAAATCTGACAGTTAACACGTGGAAATGACTCAAAGCATCCTACTATAGATTTATTTAGAAATTCACAAGGAAGAACATTGGAGTGCACTGGCAACAGATTATTCTCACCGTCATAATGTTTAGTCGCTACACCTTAACTTTGCCTGATGTACTAGTATCTTCATGCAAACCTGCAAGTATTTTGATGAGAATGAGTGCTCTTCCTTGGGGATTATTACGGCCATAGAGATGACCGGGCTTAGTGTCGTAGTTATATGTACTTGGTATAGTAGATGTGTTGCAGGAAGAAGCCTGGGTATAGCTAAACAAGTTAAATAAGATCCCTGGGGTCAGGAACGCGAACCATGCCCTGCCCCTTCACCTTCGGTTCGCCGGTTGGTTCTTGTCATCCTTCCGTAATCGTACTTCCTTCAAACAGTATCGAGTGACACTCGTGATATCGCAAGGATCATATTAAACTCGTATACGTGTCCATAAGACAAGACCAATACCCAAAGAAAGTCTTTTATTCTCCGTACATCACGTGCTCTCTGAGTCTGGAGCAGTCAAGTTGGCATTAGTCCATTTCATTAGGTTTCCATTCCACATAGCATTTTCTTTAAGTGTTATGAATTATCTTTGTCATAATTAGACTGCGGATCTTTATGCAAATTCACATTTTTATTAATAGAATTAATGAAACGGAAGCTTCTCAGAGGGCTGTCTCAACCCCTAAATATAATAATTCGTATCTTACTTTAAGTATTTCTTATATTTTTGCATATTAAATGCATTCTGTAGTTTTTTGAGGATTAAAATTTCCCATAAATGCATAAACATCCGCAGACTAGTCATAATACTACAAAGTTATTCCCACAACTTTCTGCGACTGCTCAATTTACAATAGTAATATCAATCAATAAACATTCAGACACATATAGTCTTCGCCTTGCTTCGAATACAACTCGGCGGTCAGTAATCAATATTTGTTATCTCTGACATAGATACGATGTTCTTCCAATTTTGCCCAGTTTCTAATTTTCTTCTCACGCGATCGGTTTTGCCGGAACTCACCGATCAGGATATTATCCAGCATTTCACGAACGAAGACGTCATTATGTGTTTGTCACGAAATTACTAGCTAATCGTGAGAAAGGGTCACTGGTTTTATCACAAGTTAACGACGTGATTATTCATCTGCGGGTCCATAACGTGAGTTTCGGGCATTCGCGACCAACCTAAAATGCGGCTAGCATTCGATTATCCCGCATCGATGAATTACCATCGACGTCATCCTATTTTCATTTCGCTAATTACAGGAACCTTGGTCTGCAATTTCGGTGTGACTTCAGCGAATCGGGAAACATAGTTGTCATCCCTCCCACAGTAGATGTAGTTTGTTGCTTACACGTCGTGCATGTAGTTGTATTTTTTTTCGAAACGTCCTTACATTCGTGAAATTCACAGCCAGTGTTAGAAACGTCTATCGATACTCGTAGAATTTTAACGATAAAAGAATACCGAGTTATAGCTACGCGAAGGCCCATTCCGCCGTTGAAGCGATGCAAAATTACGGAAATGCAATTACAACGCGCAGACGGTTCATAAAAGAAAATATAACGTCGTTACTCTGCAGCAAAGTAACTCGACAGATACCTCCTAATTTAATTTTGGGCTTTCGAGAAACGCTGCATACCTCTCGACGGCCTTAAAAAGCGCAAGTTCGTCAAATTTTAAAGAAATAGCAGAGTGTAGAATCGCGTACGGTGCGTGCCGAAATCCAGACGGTCTCTTTTCGACGCTTTTACGATGAAAAATTTCAAGCTTCATGCTCAAACCGCGCTATTAGTCCAAATACCGTTTCGTCCCTTCTAATTAGGTCACAGCTTGTCGGTGGATGCTCCTTTCCTTTTAAAGCTATTGATGTTCGGTGAACGAGGCAATTAGAAACGTGAAAGAGCCCTGAAATATCGGTAAAATAGTATCAATCGATTTTATCTTTAAATTTAGAAATTCATCGACCTTCCGTATTTTCATCCAATAAGCTGGATTTTACCAGAACATAATTTAACTCGGATTTTCGACGTATTTCTAGTGTTGAATAAATCACGACATACGCGTAAATTTCCATTTAATAAATAATCATTGAGAATTGTTTTTGAATTATTCTGAATGATTAGACTAAATAGATTTAAAAAACTTTAAACGCGAACCTATGAGACAATTTCCCATTTTGTGTTTGGGAGGATTGTTATAAACTGCTTAGTGCGTTATAAATGTTTACTTCAACGATTCAACCTCGACTTAAAAAATAATTGCTGATAATTATTCGATATATTGCTAACGATTTACGCGAGTTTAATTTAGTTTGTGTAATGAGTTACGCATAGACGAGTTTTTCTATGGTTTTTTTATCGAGTACTTAAGACGGAATGGTCTACTTCCTTCGAAACGAGTTCTCCAAGTACCAATTTTATTATTCTTAACCGTTTTATTTGAACCGTTAAATACAAGCAATCTTAGTCTTAGTGTCTTCTTCTGCATTCTTCTAAAACTAACATGATTTCTTATGGAATATCTTCTGGAGGTTAAAATATTTTGCATGATTTAATCAGTGATTCGCACAGTTACATCATTATAATTAAAAAAATTTTGATGGTTTCGAAATGTTGAAGTAAATAACTTGAGAAATAATTGTCATTTCGGTTGCACGAGAAAATATCACCAAGTAGTAATATTATAAAAAATATTACTAAGAAACATTGCGAAGAGCATGGCAAGCAAGAGAAACTACTTTTTACGTTGAATCAGAATTACAAAATATCTGTTAAATTTTTCATAAGTTTGTACAAGTTCAAACAATTTTATACAGCTTTGAATTTCAAGGTTTCTATTATTTTGAATTCTTAAGATAACACGACAGTCAATGTGTTAAACAAAATACTTTATTATCATACATACAGGGTGTTCGGCCATCCCTGGTAAAAATTTGAATGGGAGATATTAGAGGCAAAAATAACACGAAAAACCAGAATATCAATTTGTTGATGGAGCCTTCGTTAAAAAGTTATTAATGTTTACAGTTCCGCCTGTACTGAATTTTTTTCTTGAAAATGGATAGAATTTCGGGGGTATGTCAATTGATCAAAAATGATTGTAATTGACCATTGCAACTGGAAATAATTTTTCCAGAACAATTTGAAAAAATTTTGTTTTGCGAAAAAATTTAGACACCCACCCCTTGTAGAGTTTTCTTAAAAATTCGTTTTTGATTTTTAGTAATTTTGTTTGAGGCTCTACAGAAAACTTGTTTAATACTGTTTTATAGGTACCTATGAGGTCTAGTTCAGGAAAAAGTTTCATTGAAATATATTCACTATTGTAAGAGTTATGGTCGTTTGAATATTGGATCATTTTTATGGGGCTTTTCTCACTTCACGGTAGCAAGGAACAACTTTTTGAATATTTCTGGAATGTGTACATATTCTGCATTAGAATACGCGTTGTTT